AAGACCGTGAAATGTCGATTCGTCGCCGTTCGCAGCAATTGGGTTTGTGTTATTCGACCACATGGAAGATTTTACGCAAAGATCTTGGTGTAAAACCGTATAAAATACAGCTCGTGCAAGAACTGAAGCCGAACGATCTGCCACAACGTCGAATTTTCAGTGAATGGGCCCTAGAAAAGTTGGCAGAAAATCCGCTTTTTTATCGACAAATTTTGTTCAGCGATGAGGCTCATTTCTGGTTGAATGGCTTCGTAAATAAGCAAAATTGCCGCATTTGGAGTGAAGAGCAACCAGAAGCCGTTCAAGAACTGCCCATGCATCCCGAGAAATGCACTGTTTGGTGTGGTTTGTACGCTGGTGGAATCATTGGACCGTATTTTTTCAAAGATGCTGTTGGACGCAACGTTACGGTGAATGGCGATCGCTATCGTTCGATGCTAACAAACTTTTTGTTGCCAAAAATGGAAGAACTGAACTTGGTTGACATGTGGTTTCAACAAGATGGCGCTACATGCCACACAGCTCGCGATTCTATGGCCATTTTGAGGGAAAACTTCGGAGAACAATTCATCTCAAGAAATGGACCGGTAAGTTGGCCACCAAGATCATGCGATTTGACGCCTTTAGACTATTTTTTGTGGGGCTACGTCAAGTCTAAAGTCTACAGAAATAAGCCAGCAACTATTCCAGCTTTGGAAGACAACATTTCCGAAGAAATTCGGGCTATTCCGGCCGAAATGCTCGAAAAAGTTGCCCAAAATTGGACTTTCCGAATGGACCACCTAAGACGCAGCCGCGGTCAACATTTAAATGAAATTATCTTCAAAAAGTAAATGTCATGGACCAATCTAACGTTTCAAATAAAGAACCGATGAGATTTTTTAAAAAAAAAGTTATCAAGCTCTTAAAAAATCAGCATTTTAGTTGAAAGTACGTTTTGCTCGTCGCTCTCTTCATCGCTCCACTACATTCCTGTCCTTAGTTTTATTCAGATACCACAAATGCGCGATCCAGAAAATTCTTCTATCATTCTTGCCACAAATGTATGTTTTCTTCGAAAATACTCAAGTACTACCAGTAGAGTACTCTACTGTCAAATACCTTTTACTCGCAGTAGTTGCGGAAGGCAAAGTAAATACTCTACGCGTCTTGTTATTGATCGGTAGTTTACGTACGCTTGCAGAAACTGGTTTATGCTTACTCACACTTGACCCGAACGATGAGAGTAAAGGAGGGAAAGTATTTGCGCGGCGATCGGATGTCTTGTTAGGCCCTTTAAATGGAATTGCGCAGGAGTTTAGTATGTATGTTGGTATGTACTTTTGAATGTATGGCTTTGTGCGTGTACAGAGCCCATATATGTACAACATATATACATCCATCAATTTAAGTATGAGATGTACCTTGGTTGAATTATTTTTTTGAGTTGCTGTTATGAACTTTGCAATTGTTCCTTTTATGTTTTCTTTCGCACGGGTTTTTTTGGACACTCATATTGCTGGCCGACTACTTATACATGCTATGTGCACACATACATTCATATGTGCACTTGTACAGTTGGTTAATCGCATACTTTCACTGTCATTGAATCAAATCGAAGGAGGCAAACGAGAAATTTCAATTCAAATGTTTATTTAAGGTAGACGATAGCCAACCGCTTTGCATAATTTTAGGCATTCATACGGCAGAAAAGTGAGTAAAGCTGTTGTAATCAAACTTTTTGTAAGATTTCAGATTTTAGTTGCATTGTATTGCTGCTTTTTTGAAGACAACCTGCCGCGGAATTCTAAAAATCGCTACGCTAAATTTCTATGGCTAAAAATCGCCAAATTTATAACATACGTGCCGAAAGATATGC